TAGGTTGGACTATAACAGTGGTTCTCAACCTGTGGGTCAGGACCCCTTTGGGGGTCGAATGGCCCTTTCACGCTTAAGACCATCGGAAAACACATATTTTCAAAAAATATGGAAATAAAATAATTTTATGGTTGTGGGTCACCACAACATGAGGAACTGTATTAAAGGGTCACGGCATTAGGAAAGTTGAGACCCACTGGACTAAAAGGTCCCTTTCAATTCTGTTATACTAGGCCATTTTAAACTTGGTAGATGTGGATCTCTGTTCATATGTGTTAAAAAATATATATGAATTTGGAAGCAAAGGCTAATGCTAATTGGAACTCACTCTATTGTTTCAACAGGAAGCATGGATTCCCCAAAGCCCTTGTCCCTCACAACTGAACAAAAATGTGTATCTGCCTTGTGGGTTTATGTGTTCAAACCAAACCATGCCACGCCTTCCACCACCAACTGAAACCCATATACCCCACAATAAAAACTGAGGACTTAATCAGTAGTGTATTTTACATTTTACAGAGACTGAAAATTACAAACTATATACAGGCAGCATCACCACTAGCCACACAGTTGTAGTTGCCATTGGAGCAGCCATTGGCAGTTGTTTCACGACATAGAGCAACACCGTACAATAGCTTGGTACAGCAAGTAAGTAATACTGGCACTCTGATGCCCAGCCAGCATGGGCAGTTAGTGAAAGTCGGCCAGAACATTTGGAGCATACATGTCGATTCCTGAAGACAGCCTGAGAGTCCCAAGAGCTTGATGGGGTCTAGTCAGGCTTCAATCTAGACCAAGGGGACAAGTCTGTGAGATCATGATACTACGACAGATATCTAACAGGAAAGGCCTGGCTTCATGGCAAAAAACATACAATTGAGGGCTGGGCTTCTCATGGAGTAGATCACAGGTCAGATTTCCCAGCAGCAGCTGATGATGAAGATGATGAAGAAGTTGGTATTTGCAGTGGTGAAGAAGGAGAAACCTGGGGTTGTGACTGCACCTGGGATTGACACTGAGAGGGGTCGGACTTTGCTGCCTTGAGGGTGCAATTCTCAGGGCTGGATGAGGAATGGCTTGTGCAGGTGACACCACCTTGTTGAGGCACCTGAAGGAAATCGGGCAGTATTAGATCCTCCTTGGACAGTAGCCCACGCTGGTCATTGACCCTCAAGCTGTGTGCACGATTCAGCAGTTCCATTAGCCCTGAGGGAGAAAAAAAATACTTCAATGCATCTAAAATCCTAATACCATGGTGTGTGTGTGTGAATACTCTCAGGATGTGTTGATCTGCAACTTAATCATTTCTCATGAACCAGACTGATGGGACTTGGATTGAACAACATCTGGAGAGCCACATAAGACCCAGCCATTCCTCATACAGTCATTCTACAAGTAGCAATATTTCACTCTTTCAACTTGCTTGCATTAATTATATAGTGATGGTTTCTCTAAAGGAGTCTTGAAGAGGATGCTAAAACTCTCACAGAGCTCTTGGACTCTTAAAGAAGATACTATAAATCCCAGATACCCTTGGTATAGATATTGCAACTTGATTTGCAAATTGTGGAGCTGGCCAGCGCTCTACATGAAAGGGGGCATCAGTTGCAAGGGGGGGGGGAGAGACATTGGAGATGCAATACCAACAACACAGGCTTGCAAATTCACCTATGTACCCAGCCACTGAGACCAGTGATAGAGCCTATATTCATGATCCAGCAGGCCCTTGCATAATTTTTGTTATGTAATTATATTTAATCCACCCACGTCTTGCTGTATTGCCTTGCTATGGCAAGGAAGCGTTCCTGGGAAGGATGAGCAAAGAGTATTGGGAATGTATGGAGTATAAACTCCCAGCAGGGTCACCCATGGCATGAAGGTCATCCCAGGTAAAACTAGCAGACACTTTTATTGGGGGGGGGGGCAGAAATATTGAAAGATACTGGAGGCAGATGATCACTTTAGTAGACATCCATTCATCTTATATGAGACAATTCAATGGTAAATCTCTGCTGTATTTTACCAAGAAGAACACATGGATATAACATATAAAATTGAAGTGTTGGACGATGGCCCCTCGGGGCAGATAGCACTCAACATCATATTATGGAAAGGCTGCTAATCTTTCAGAATACTAATTGTATTTATGGTGTGGCTAGAGTAAAACCCTTTGAGACATCTTGTATGTTCACTTTACGATATAGGTATGAAAATCCAAAGTTGCAAGGGCAGAGGTAGTGGGAACATGGTACATAAGATGCATAAACTTGGGAAAGCTCAACACATTGAAAGATGAAATGAAACAACTACAAATTCCAAGTATCTTTGGAATCAATGAATTCGGATGTTGAGATTGATGCTTTCAGTCAGAAGATCATACAGCTTACTTTATAGGACATGAAAAACAAAAAAGAAGCCACATACTACAGGTAGTCTTCAATTATGGATGGCAGTTGGAAGCGGAATTTGCTGTTGCTTACTGGCACGAGTATAAAGTGTGACATCATCTAACTGCTTTGCTTAGCAAGGGCAATTCCAGCACTCCCAGTTGCCATTGCTAAGTGAATCACCACAGGTTGTTCAGCAAGGATGCCACGTGGTCACCATTTGAGACCTCCTGCCAGCCTCCCCGTTGACATTGTGTGTTGGAAGCCAACAAAGAAGATTGTAAATGATAAACGTGTGACTGTGGGATGGTGTGATGGCTCCAAAGATCACTTACTAAGTATCATTCGTTCTGTGCTGTTGCAAATTCAGAAAGTTGATGAATGAGTCGTTGTTAACTAAGGATGACCTG